GAGGATGGCCAAGGATCGTTTGGATGAACTGAATAGAACTGTGAACTGAACATGAATTGAACTCATTCATTTTGTAAAGGGATGAATGTGAATTGAAATTACTTGCTGTTGAGACGTGTTGAACTTGAACTAGTTCCTTTTTTAAACTGAACTTTTCAAGATCTGAAACATGCCAACAGTAGAGATTTCTCCTGATCTGCCTTCCTATTCAGATTCACTTTAAAAAATGAGGAGTGGAACATACCATTCCACTTAAAAGAAAAGCAATGAAACGTGACAAAATTGTTGGTTGGTGGTTTTTGGTTTTTTTAAGAAACTGGTTGAGGGTTGCTGCACATGCCAATGTATTGAGATTTACCAATGTTATATAAAGACAATCTGTGATTGCACTATGGATATTTTTGTCTGGAGTGTCCATTATTCCTCTCCCCTCCCCTCCACTTGAATGCTTATAATATCAGCTGAAACAGGCAATTGCAGAGACTTCCTGTTGAGGTGGATTTCATCACAGTTGGACTTCAGTCTCACAGCAGATTTTTAAGCTGAGTATTATTGTCAGTCACAAATTGTTCAGACTGGAGGTCATCACAACAGGAACACGGAAAGGAACAAAGCTAAAATATATCTAGACAAATACCCTGGCCTGTATCAAAGTGAATGGATCTTTTTTACTTATTGCATGTTATATGGGAGAATAACCATTACAGTTGATGATATCAGAGAATCGCCATTACAGTTTATTGCATTTAGTTTAGCAAAGCCCATCTAATTTCAAGGCAACTACAGCCTTAAAGGCCACTTTATTGACAACAAATTTATTATAGCTAAGGACATTATAACTGGGTAATTTGGGTATCATTTTATTAATTGCATTGTACTTCATCTTCGCTATTCATTATTGTAGCGTTTTATACGCACGAAACTACTTCGCTACTTGCAATATTTTATACCAGGGCTGGGGAGCCTTCGGCCCTTCATAAGTTGTTAGACTACAATTCCCATCATTCCCAATGATAATATGAATCCTTTCAAGGTGCCTCAGGTTTCTTTAAACAGGTAACTGCTGACCAACCCCCACTGCACATACAGACCAAATATTCAGTATGGAAATCCAATCCAATCCAATACAATACAGTATAGTATAGTATAATAATATAATATACAGTAACAAGGGAACGGCTGTGCTAATTTGTTTTATTTATCCTCTGATAAACATATTGGGGGATCCAATCTATGCATCCAAAACATACAAAAAGATGGAGGGGCAATAGCACAGCCATTCCCATCTTACAAAAGACAAGAAAGGACGTGTGTGTGTGTGTGTGTGTGTGTGTGTGTGTGTGTATGAGAATTAGCCTTGAAGAAGCACTTGGAAAACTATTTCTCCCTTCCGTTTTAACACATGGTTGTTTCTGGATTGGGTTAGCTTCACCACAGTTGTCCATGCACTGGTAATCTCAAGCTTGGATCATCACAATGCACTCTATCTAGGGTTACCCTTGAGGGTGGTTCAGAGGCTGCAGAACGCAACTGCTAGGTTGCATATAACACCTTGTTTGCAGCATTTGCCGAGGCTGCTGATCCACTACTAGGCCAAGTTCAAGGTTTTTCTCACTAACGTTTAAGGCCCTATACAGCTCAAGGTCAGGTTGCTTGGGAGACCACCTTATCCTTCACATGCCACATGAACCACTGCATTCTGCAAGTGGTTTATTCAGCAAGCGCCCAAAATATCAGAAGCCCATTCCCCAGTCCCTTGGAACAGGGCTTTCCTTCAGTGGGGTTCTATGGAACAGCAGGTTCCCGCTATCTCTACTTTCCAGAAATAAGAGCAGCTGGAAGAAAATATCTCTGCCTTAGCTTTTAAAAAACAACACAGAATGAACATAAGGTTATTTCTGTACTGTTTTTAGAACTACTTTAGCTGTGTTTCTGATATGCTTGCAAGTTGCCTTGGCACACGTGTAAAAGGTGATGCAGAAATTATTTCATAATTCATAATTCATAATTAATTCATAATAGAATAATAATAGATCATTATCATCTATATATCTAACAGCATATATTATTCTATAACAAGTTGTGTGTGTGTGTGTATGTGTGTGGTAAATATTCTTGCTAAATAAATAAACAAAAATATCCGTCCATTCATGATGGCTAAAGAACAAAGCCAGTCCAAGTCCTTTTGCTGCCTAAGATGAAGGACAAGATTGCATTCCCCCATCCAGTTCACATATAGAAGCTGGTGACAGGGCAGCATCTCAAGGCTCACCTGAGGCTGGCAGGGCTAACCTGGGCAATGCAGAGCAGACCCAATGGTACACACAGCTCTGACCTTCAACACCTGTTGACACTTCCCACCCTCAACACCTGATGCGTGAGGCAGCTGCTGGTGTTGCTAGAGAGCAATTAAAGAACTGGCTTTTTTTTTCAGTCTTTCAGAGAGCCATTAAAAAGAGTCTAATTCTCTGTTGGGCTTTTATGAATGAGAACAATTAATATGCTCAGAATAAATGACAGAGCATAACTGGATTGTGAAGCCTCTCCCCATTTATATATTCATCGGGAGAGTGCAAAACTCTCGTCTTTACCAAAGGACAAGTGCATGGTTCAAGTGTGTTGAGGGTCACTAACTTCTGGAGAGTGGGCTTGAAAGCAGGCTACAGATTGTGTTTATTATCCGTCGCACGTGGTTGTGAGAATGGAAGCAACCAGAGACATTTATTCTGGGCGGCCTAAAAGGAAACCTTGAAAGAAATATTCTCTGTATTTATTGCATTCTAAAAAGGAGCCAGGCAGGTATGAAGGGACTTATCCTCCGGTGCAGGAAAAAAGGAGCAGTAATTTGGCAGCCCTGCCCTACAGTCTGTGCTACCCGGTCTCTTGGCATGAGAGATCTGTCTCAGAAAAGGCCTTGGGGTAACTGTGGAAGAGTCGCAGTTGGGTGCTGTGATTGCACCTGAAAATACAAAGTGCAGTCCTAGCAAACCAACTGGAGAGTTGAGTCCCAGTGAACTTGGGAGGGCTTCCTTCTGAGCAAACAGACTGGGCTTGCTGACATCCTCGTGCATCTGATTTGGCTCCTCTGTTTGCTTAACTGCCAGGATGCTCAAAACTTGGGAGAATTAATGGCCCGTTCCCTAATCCATTGGTGCTAACATCAACTAATGATAGGAAGGGGGGGGGAGGAGAGAGAGAGATAGACGTGGTCTAATGTGTTTAAAAAACAACAACCAAAAAACCCACACCACCAGTCGTGTTTCCCTTCCATAAGCACTTTGCCAGGCATACATGAGGATGAAGCAATAAATTAATGTTCTGTAGTGGGGGGAGCACCATCATTCTGCCATCTCCCCAGGGCATGTCCTAGCCAAACCGAGGCTCTTAAAAGAGGAACTTGAAGCAAACCTGTAGGGCGTTAGGAGTGCTTTTCCATGTCTCCTGCTGATGGGCCGATTCCCCGTTGCCCAAGTCCCAGGCTCTCATTCACACCCTTTGCTTCCGGGCTGCTGGTGTTCCTCGCACGTCCTAGGAGCTTGACAGCGTCAGCCGCTGCTTGACCGCAGCCTCATCCCAAGCCTTGGCCTTGCTGCTGATTAAGACTTTCGTTGCTGGGCATCTGAGGGTTACGCGGCCAAGCCACCCCCTGACTTTCCTCCGAGGTCACCAGGAAGCAAGTGTGCGTTTTGTAACAAGAGATCTTAATTAGACGGTGGTTGTGGGTGCTGCTGCTGCTGCAGCTGCTGCTGTGTCCCTAGCCCGGCTGAGGCTAAGGTTGCACAGCGCCCCCTTGTGCTCACTTGTTTTACTGCCGTAGGAGAAACTGGAGCTTTAAAGCGGCATTTATTTCCTCCATCGAATTCCCCATCCCATCCCCTTTATTTTTAACTGAGCAGTAAATTCCGTTGTTCCTGCAGTTGAGGCCGGCCTAAACTGAAGTAGCACAGTACAGAAAGCACGGGGTGTGTGTGTGTGTGTGTGGAACGGGGGGGGGGGGACCTGCTGGCCCTGCACGCTCCATTGATCATTCAAGTCCATCATTGTTTTCTGTGTTTCGTTAATAACTGTGTCAGGAAAGAACCCGAAGGAAAGCAAGAAGCTTAAAAGGGAGCTGAAATTCCGCCCCACCCACCCCCGTTGCAACACAGCAATGAATGAGAAACGGCGATGCCAAACTAGCCATCGACGCCGGGAGTTTCTAGGCAGTTAACTAATCTAACGACTTCCACCCCATATGCAATCAGAACAAAATGTTACGGAGCTAGAATTTAAACAGGAGGGAAGATGTTTATTTCTAAAGCGCTGGAAAATCTGTACGTTGCATAACGTTGCAGCAGCATGAAACACTGGGCAGAGGATAGAAAGAGGCTTTTGCTGTTAAGAATGCAGAAAAGGGATTTTAACAAGAAAGCAGAATCTGCAACAACATGTTGCTCTGTAGTTCCAGGAAGTCTGCCATGTCTCTCCCCCCACTCCAATACTCCATTCCATTCCATCCCTCCCAGTGTTCTTCCTTGGCCTCATCACTCAGCATTCTATGGCCAATGAGCATGCTCAGTCCTCGCTGGCATGTTTTGAGGTCTTCCCCTCCCCACAGGTTTTCTGAGGATCGTCCAATCCCCTGCAATGCAGGAATATGCAGGTGTCCCATATGGGGATCAAACCTGCAACCTTGCTGTTATCAGCACCACACTCTAACCAACTGAGCTGGTTTATTTTATTTTATTTTTACTTCTGCAGACCTTGGCATTCCACCTCCTGATCCCTCCTTCTTATACATAAGTGGTGCTGTTTGGGCTACGTAAAGATCCACACTTGCAGAATGAGATTGTTAATAGTATATAGGATTTTTTAAAAAAATGAATCTGAACAAGATTTAGGGAGAATCATGGGCACCCATGGGGGGGGGCAGGAAGCTTTTTTTAAAAAGAGTTTATTTCTGTCGTTTGTAGAACCTAAAATATGAGACAAAATGTACAGGCACTATTCTCATTCTTTCCCCCCTGAGAGATTAGCCTGCTCCCCATTTTCAGTGTTTTACTTCCCCCACCCCCTAGAAAAACTCCTGTGGGTGCTCATGGCAGTAGTATCTTTCAATCTGTAAAGTAGCCAAGGGTTTTGTTTAAAAATGGGAATCGTAGAACCTTCAGCATTTGTTTCTAGCATTATGATAGCTTTCAGCATTTCAGAGTGACGTTTGTCCAGTCAGCCATTGTCACAGCGATTAGTTACGTTTTCCTGTAAAGCAGGGGCAAGAAACAGAAGTTGTTGGTTTCCAACTCTCCTCAGCCCCAGTCAGCATGGCCCAGCAGTCAGGAATGTAGTCTAGCAGTGAATTTCCTGCTTTTTAAGTCATCAGGGTTTCCCAAACTTTGGTCTACAGCTGTTTTGGGACTACAATTCTTATCATCCCTGACCACTGATCCTGCTAGCTAGGGATGATGGGAGTTGTAGTCTGACAACAGCTAGCAACCCAAGGTTGGGAAACCCTGCTCCAGATGAACTTTCAGGAAGACCAAGATATAAGGATAAGAGGCTTCTGATTAGGAAGGTGTTCTATTAAGTAGTGGCTACAACTGAACTGGCCTTTTCAGTGCTGGCCCCTGAACTTCTCTATTTGCTTCTTAGCTCTGTGTGACAGAACCAGAAATAAGCCCACCCCCTTGCCTTTACATTCAGACAGGCTTTTGGTGGCTAATGCTTGGCCATCTTTGGTGCCAGGCTCATAATGCTGGCCTCATGCTGTCTTTCTGCTTGGAATTCTATTTGCATTATTAAAGTATTTTAGGTGAACCCATGACATGATTGAAAAAAGAGGGCCAAAATAATACGTACATTCAATTTTAAAGCCTGGTCTGTTGCTCACAACAGCCTTGATCTCAGACATTAAGCAAAGAAACAAATCTGGTGTACGAAGGAGGTTTTGAATAAATTTGATTAAGAGGATGCTCCATTTCAGGATGATGGTGGGTGTGCCTTTTTTATAGAAGCAATTTAGGTTTAGATTTCATAATGATTTTTTTTTAAAATGGCATTTTTCATTTCATGAAAAAAAAAGCTGTGGGCCCCTGCTCCAGAATGTGCTCCTGATCTAGAATGGAGAAACTCACACCAGTTTCCTGGTGCAAATTGCCCCCTGCCTGGCTGCTTCTTGCACCTCAATGTGCTGTTTGCAATAACCAGCACATCTGGGGACAGGTGGAGGACTTTCTGCAGGAAACTAGTGCTGTATCAGGAGCATATTCCTGCTATGGGGCCCATGGCTGCATTTCCCCACACATAAAAGAATAAAGGTGGTCAGATTAGGTATGTACCTACCATAACGTATAGTTGTTACTTCAGAGCCCGAACCATACCAGTCTCCCTCAAGCTTCAGAATGTGCTCTGCTGCCATTCTTCATATACAGTATGTGAAGGATCAGTGCTGGAGTCAAGTGGAAAGCCTTGGAGCAGTGGAAGGTGCCTTCTTTTCTCGTCCCTAGGGTATAGCTCAGACGTTCGAGAAACAGCACCTGAGAAAAAAGCAATCTGAGCCTTAGATGCTAACGTTGCTCTTTTCCTTGTATGGGCCAGCATGAAGACAGTTTACATCTTTTCCAGGTGTTAGACTGGTATTGAAGTTGTGGAAAGATTTTACTGCAACTTTATAATGTTAGGGGTGTTAGGGGAGGGGTAGTACCTCTGGTGGGGAATACATTATGCTCCTTCTGGGGTAGTTGATCCACCTTTGGTCCCCGCCCTCAGCTCTCACCTGTGGCTCCTACAAGCTGTCAGCATGTAACAGCAGCCACACCATCTTGTATCTGTGAAGTGGGGTTTAGTCCATTAAAGCTTACACCATAATAAAATTAGTTAGTGTTTAAGGTGCCATGGGACTCTTTTGTCAGATGTTTTCTGACATGGTTTTCCAAGTGAAAATATACCTTGTTGTAAGGCTGGGTTGAGGAATCCTTCAAATGTTGCTGGACTCCAACTCCCATCAGCCCCAGCCAACATGACCAATGGTCAGGGACACTGTAGTCCAGCAACCTCTGAAGGGCCACAGGTTCCCCATCCCGACTGTAACTTGCTATGACATTTGCGCGCATGGTAAAGGGCCCCTGGCCATTAGGTCCAGTCGTGGCCGACTCTGGGGTTGCGGCGCTCATCTCACTTTATTGGCCAAGGGAGCCGGCGTACAGCTTCCGGGTCATGTGGCCAGCATGACTGGCGAACCAGAGCAGTGCACGGAAACAGCGTTTACCTTCCTGCTGAAGCGGTACATATTTATCTACTTGTACTTTGAGGTGCTTTCAAACTGCTAGGTTGGCAGGAGCTGGGACTGAGCAACAGGAGCTCACCTTCTGATCGGCAAGTCCTAGGCTCTGTGGTTTAACCCACAGCGCCACCCGCGTCCCATTTGCGTGCATAAAGGTATACAAATAATGCTGGTGATGGTGATTCAATTTCACAAGGTCGGTGCAGGGTGTTGTTTTCCTGAGCAACACAATGAAAGGTGTCTCCCCCCCCCCCATCCACAAAGACTGCACAGAGGAGTGGGCAGTGGAAGCACTCTATGAATGGGACTGTCAAAAAGCAACATCGCCAAGTGACTGCCTGTCTGCTTCCCTTTCCGCTTGCCCCATTGGTGGCAGCTCAAAAGCAGCCATAGTCAAGCCTGAAGGGATATCAAGGAAAGGCTTCAGATTGCACATAACAAAAGAGCTGGATGGTTGTGATCCCCTTGCCAGCCACTAAAGTCATACAGCCACCCAGGAAGAAAGGTGCTTCGGTGCAATCTTTGGTGCCCGGAGGAGGAGGCCTAGGCGGTGGAGATCTGATAACTCTGCTCTCCTGGCCTGAAGCATTCCAGGGCCTCTTTAATCGTCGCGGGGCTATTAAAACAGAGACGTCTGGCAGGTGTGGTTGCTGCACCTGCCAGATGATTATTATATGGTTATCTTCACTCATATGGTTGCATGGACCTTCAATGTTGCGCAGTGCTACACTTGCCTTATTGCAGGGGTGAGAAACCTGGAGACTGAATACAGACCTCCGGGCCTCTCTGTCTGCCCCTCAGGGCTCTCCCAGCCCATGTGCTTCCAGACTGCACCTGCTCATCTTCCTCTGCTCTTGGACTGTGTATTCTTGAACTGTGATAATGCCTCATTTGCTTTGGAGGAGGGTAGGGAGATGGAGGCTGGGGGCAGCAACTTCCGCCCTTTTGCATGGCTGGAATGTCCAACGTGGCTCATCCAGGGCTCCGCCCACTTTTGCTTCTGACCCCGCCCACCACCGTCATGTGGCTGAAGTTTGCCCTCGAAGTTTCCCTTGGGCTGAGATTCCCACCCCTGATTGGTCAACGGAAAACAACCCTGTGAAGTTGCTCATTATTGACTCCCTCTTTTTGGTGGGGAGGACAGACTTCTAGCTGCTGCTGTTCATGGCTGAATACTAATCCAAAACTCATTGGGCAACAAGGACTCAGCCACTGAATAACTTCTCATTGATCACATGAGAGAAATGTGCTTGTGGTGGAGTTGAGAACTTGATGGTGGAACTCATATCTGAAGACCCCCTTGCCTCCCAACGAAGTGCAAGCCTCTAGTCCAGTTGGTCACTACTAAATCTCAGGACAGGGCAGTAAACGAGAGTTGGTCGCTTGCATACTTTATGCTGATAGAGTTGTTTGTTTCTCTCCCCCTCCCTCCCTCCCTCCCTCCCTCCTTGGGAGTGAATTTCTGGCTAAACATTTCATTGTCAGCTATAGTCAAGCAGGGATAGGCAACACAGTGCCCCCCAGATGTTATTGGACTCAAGTTCCCATCAGCCTCAGCCAGCATGGTCAATAGCCAGGAGTAATGGCAGCTGGATTCCTCTCTGCCACAAACTCTCCCAGATCACTAAGCTCTGTTACCTCTTCAGCTTCTGCCACCTCCTCTTCCCTGTCTTCTCCCTCTGACCTCTCACTGTTGTCCCACCCCCAATCCCTGGGCTCTGAGCCTTCTTCCCTTGGGGGTTCCCCAGCTAGTTCCTCCCACCATTCCTCTGCATCCAACCAATCCATGAAAGGTGCATAAAGGTCATTTAAGCCTCTGGACTTGATGGTCTGAAGGACTCCACTTGTTTAGATAGGGATGTATATTGTTTCACTCTTTTCAATGGTAAGCTGTGTTTGGGGGTCCTCCTGTTCATTCTACTGCACAGGGCCACAGACTCTTGCCCCAAATGCCAACCCAGAATGCACTGGTGCATGCTGTTCTTAAGCAAATGGTGGCCATGGTCATTGCCCGAGTGAGAGACCACGGGAGCCTTGTGTGAGCCAAAGTAAGCTTCATGCAGTAAATCCATGATTGGACCTCTCAGTCTATCTTACTGAAATGCAGCTGGGAGGGCTGCCAATGTGACTGAGCTAATAAAAGAGTGGAATCTGCAGCCCACAGAGCCAGTGTGGTGTAGTGGTTAAAGTGTCAGACTAAGACCTGGGAGACCAGGGTTCCAATCTCCAGATGGCCATGAAGCCTTGGCCTAGTCACTGCTACTCGGCCTACTTTACATCACAAGGTTCTTGTGGAGATTAAATGAGGAGAACCATGTATAGCACCATGAGCTCCTTGAGAAAAAGGTGGACTAGGAAAGCAACAAACAAACAAACAAACAAACAGCAAGCTAACTGCAGTTTGAGGGCTGGGGAGGAGGTGTTTGAGAAAGCGCCATAGTGAAAGGATAAAATCACACACACACACAAACACCACTGCCATGACTGTGACCAAAATTGCTGTCACTCTCTCCTTCATGTAGCTGCATTTCAAGACAGGCCATTCTTGCGGATCTTCCACATAGATTGGCCCTTAGCTTCTTGGAGGCAGAGTGGGTTATATATAGGTGAAACAAATGGACATTATGGAGCAGGCTGTATGCTTTTCTGACCCACCCACCATCAGAAGTAGGTGGGGAAAGTGTGTGCAGAGCTGTGGAGAGTGGAGTTGCCTCTTCCACTGTCCAAATCCCATTTTGTAAAAATGCAATAATTCCGTTTTTCTAGACAGGAGGAAAGACGCATTAAAAACCGTCAGCAGAGTGCAAACAGTCCATCTTTTCTCCTTATCTCTTTGAGATTATCAGGTGCTGCTGTTTTTTTGGGGGGGGGGGTTAACAGTGCTGTGGAGAGGTAGGAAGGGGGTTATTTCTTTATTCACCCCTCTAAGGCTAATCTTGCCTGCTTTCATCTGTCACAGACAAAACAAAAATCAGAACGACCAGCAATGCTTCCTGGACATTTGAGACCTCTGTGGTCTCTGCATCCCCCCTTAACACGCACACTTGCTTGGGATGGAGGGGGAGGGGTGCCCAGCATCCATAAAAGGAGCAGGGAATGGGGGGGGAGCAGCCAGCGAAGTGTACACTTTCAGCCCTGTACTCATAATTCATCTTTGAGAAGGGAAGATGAAGGAGGGGAATGTTTATTTAGGGATATTGAACATTAATGGGTTGAGATAGTCCTCTTGTCTCCTTTTCCACATATGACAAACAAAGAACATTTTCTGGTGCTTTTCTGCATGCAGCCGTTAAGATTGCTGAAGGAAATGTGCCCTGTGTGAGGCAGCCCTGTTAGCAGTCCCCTGCAGGCAGTTAATTTTGTAGGCCTGCCCTTCTTTAATAAAAACCAGTCCTTTCATACAGAAGAGGTAGAACGGTACATCCACTTCTGCCGCTAGGAAAACCATGCAGGCTCCCAGGTTACACAGAGTTCTGTTCTGACCCTATCAGTTTCCAGCAGCAAAAGGCACAAAAAAGCTGCCCTTCTAAGCACAGCTAGGTCTGTTGGTGTGACTTCCTTCTTAACTTGCTTAAGATTACAACTTCATTTAAAAACAAGTCTCACTGATTTAAGGATTGTGTCATTATCGCAGGGCGGATCTACATAGTACCTGATCTGTGCAGTAGCTATTTTCCCTGTGGTTCAACAGCATTCCTCGCATGGCAACAACTCCCGATGACCCAGAGAAGTTTCCACACCAGTGACATACTCTTCTCGGTACACCCAGCAGTGACGCAGAAACTTCTTGCACGGTTTGTTTGTTGTTGTTTTTTAAATTTAGGTAGTAGTTCCTATTACATGTTATAGAAATAGATAGTCGAAAATTGCCACATGTGGAAGCTGTTGCTCAGGTTATGTATAGATCAGCCCTCAAGCAGACTGATACAGTGAAGCCGAAGAACAATGACTAGTATTTCATGTTTGTTTTAGCATCTACATACTAGATCAGGGATGGAGGGCTGTGGTCCTCTGTTGCTGTTGCAGTCCAACTCCTATCTGCTCCAGTCAGCATGGCCAGGGGGCAGGTTTCCCATCCATGGGCATCTTACCCATAGAGCCTAGTGGACCAAGTTCTGGAGGGCGCCAGGGAAGAGGGGGAGGCTGGATGTGGCGCCTCCCAGCATCAGCTCACTGCCCTCGCCATGCCACATCGAAGCAGCGCCATGCCTGGAGCCTCCGTCTGCCATGGCCACTGTGGCATGAAGCAGCCAGCTGAGCCGGGAGGTGCTGCGTCCAGCCTCCACCTCTTCCCCGCTGGAGGAACCGCCCTCCAGCTGCTGCCCACCTCCTCCAACCCCACTGGCAGTGTCGTCCTCCCTAAAAAAAACTCTGGGAAACGGGGGGGGGGGGCGCCGGAGGGAGCTTTGCACCATGGTACCGGATATGCTTAAGACGGCCCTGTCCCCATCCTTGTGTTAGGTGCTGTACATAGAACAGAAGTGACAGCAGCTGGGATAGCTCAATTAGAAGAGCACAATACTCTTAATCTCAGGGTTGTGGGTTTGACCCCCAAGTTAGGCAAAATATCCCGGCATTGCAGAGGGTTGGACTAGAAGACCCTTGTGGTCCCTTCCAACCCTACAATTCTATGATTCTATGACCCACCCGCCCATAAAGTGTGCGGCAAATGACAATAGCACCCATGTGCAATGAAATCCTATGTTTGCTTAGAAATAAGGATTGCTGACATCAGGGAGAGTTTTCAGTGCGTTTATCATCACAGGGTTATTGAGTTGCATCAATGAAGTTTAAGGCTGCATCGCTACACAGTCACTTGCACAGCTGAAGAGACAAACCACTCTATAAAGTTGGAATTGGAAAGTGGCTTGCCTCTTCAGCATGTGGTGGAAAATTCAAAGAAACATTTGTTTGCAGCATAGTTTCAAGGTCCCCTTAAAACTGTACCAGACACTTGTATATCATTGAATTCATAGAATTGTAGAGTTGGAAGGGATCGTGAGGGTCATCTAGTCCAACCCTCTGCAATGCAGCAATCTTTTGCCCAGTATGGGGCAAGACTCCCATGCTCTACCAACTGAGCTATTTGGCCCAGGGATCACATTTTTGGAAACCATTGCCTCATATTACATAGCTCTGAATTATAAGCACTGCTTCCTTAATTTTTTTTTTTTAATCGGTGGTTTCAGTTAGGGAGGAGGAAAGCAAAGGTAAAAATCATAACTCCATCTCCATGTTATCACCTTCACAGCCCTCATCTTAAATTTACCTGGGAATGTTCTCTTTTACCTTAGCACCAGAGTTGATAATAGGAAAAGCTAGTCAAGTGAAGGTGCAGCGGGATAGTGGCCAAACTAGCAGTACCAAAATCCTCAACCTATACTTGGAAGTGAAATTGACTTTCAATGGGATCTCTTACCTGTGAGGAGGCCACGTTCAATCAAGTTAGGAAGCAGAGCATCACGCACGGAACACGGGCATGTAGGGTGAAGGGGATGGAAGCCTGGCACACGGAGCCATTCCTTAGGTACCAATGGGACCTATTGCTTCCCAGGCGCAGTGGAGAGGCTCGCCAATCGCCACCCTTCGGAGAACCACTTTTGACGCGCCAAATCCAAACATTACCCGTGTCCCGAGTGACTCTGAACTCTAAGAGCGCGCGTTTATGGTCCATGGCGCCGGAGCTTTGCTGCAGAAACAACTTAAAAGTGGGCAAAAGTGGGGATTGCAAGAATGTCGTGCGTTGAGGGAAATGCTCTTCAACCAAGGCAGCGCGTATCCGTCCATTTCATAACATTTATGCACCTTAAAAACCCCCCAGCGGTTTACAAAGAGAGAAAAGCAGCCTGAAACTTCTGGGTACACACGTGCACGAGATCGGGCTGCTGCTCGTCCGTCTTCCGGGCTTCCGCCAACTCGTCTGGAGAGGCTCCAGCTCCGTGTTTTCTGCGCGGCCTGTGGGCCGTCGCTCGCTCCCTGGCGCCCCCCTTCCTTCGCCCGGCTCCGGCTGTCGCTGCGGCTGTCGCCCGCCCCCTCCCGCGGAGCCCTCCTCCTCTCCCTCCTCCTCCTCCCGCCAGCCCGTCCCCTTCTCGCGGCTGGGCTCTCCTGCGCGCGGGACACCTTGGCACTGTCGGAGGAGGCTGGACGCGGGGAGGATGCGAGGAGCAGCGCCGCGCCGGCAGCAGCAGCAGCAGCAGCAGCGACAGGAGCCTCCGGTGATGAGAGCCCCGCAGCAGCAGCAGCAGCCGTGGCTGCCCCTCTGAGCGCCGCTCCTACCAACTTGGAGAGCGGGGAGGAGCTGCCCAGCCTGGCACGGCAGGAGCGGCTCGGCGGCACCGGCGACCCTCTTCCTCGCGCGGCGGCGGCGGCGGCGGCGGGTCTCCCCTTTCCCCGCTGTGGGCAGAGGGAGAGTTGCGCGGACCCCCGTCCGCCACAGCGTGGCTGCGAGAGGCGGCGGGAGCAGGGCAGTCTTGGGGCGCCGGGCGGGGAGGCTGGAGCTTTGGAAGGGCTGCCGAGGGAAGAAGCAGAAGAGGAGGGCGCCTCTGGAGAGGGCGAGGAGGCGGCGGCGCAGGAGGAGGCGCAGGAGAGCGGCAGACGCGGCAGCCTCGTCCGCGCCCAGCGATGGCTCCTGCCTGGAGCCGGGGAGTTTCTGGCCCCGGCGGGATCGTCCTGCTCCTGCTGCTGGGGGGCATCTGCAACCTGAGGCTTTGCCACGCAGGTAAGACTCGGCGCGGCTCGTGGGATCGCGAGCGGGGCTGAGGGTGGGGGGGGGGGAAGGCGGGTAGCGCTGCTTCGTCGCTTCAGGACTTTGCTGAGGTGGAGAGAGACATGTACCCTCTCCTGGTTTCCCACCCGCTTCCTAAAAGTTACCTCAGACTTTCAAACACCCCCCCCCACACCTACCTCGAGCCCGTTTCCCACTTTGCCGCTTGTGCGTATGCATTCTTCTGCCCGCGCTTATTCCGGCGGCGTCGAGAAGGGGAGCTGGATTACTGGGGGGGGGGAGAGTAAATAAACGAAAATAATTGCTTTGCGCTCTCGCCCTCTCTCGCTCTCCCCCACCCCTCTTTTGGTAATCGAACACCCCAAACAACGTTGCTAGTAAGCGGGGGCCTCGGCGGGCCGAGTTTACCCCGCGCTGGTGGGACGACGGGACGGTTCCCCCCGCTGTTCTCCTCAGACGTCGCGGTTTTGAAGAGAGGGTGGCGGAGAGGCGCGGTTGCCTCGGTCTGAGGGGCGGGGAAGGTCAGAGGAAAGAAGTCGTCGTGGTGCTGCCTGAGTCAGGGGCACCCAAAGAGGAGAGTTTTCCACAAGTGCATCGGGAATAGTTCCCAAACACAGCCCCCCCCCCATGCTCGGAAGTAGCTGCCGTGGTGCTCAGGGCGCAGCTTTTCCTCTGAGTGCAGCTCGGAGGAGCGTTTTCCAACCTTCCTTAGGAAAGATTTTTCTTTCTTCTTCTTGCCTCCCAGAAAGGTGAATATATAAACCCTGCTTACCTTGCAAAAAAAGGGTTTGCTTCGGAAGGGGGACGCAGGATCCCCGCTCTCGGGGCAGGTGCATGTGAAGGATGCTCGTCCTCTGTGTACGGTTAACTCGGGAATAAAGCCTACTCGCTTCACTTACTCCGAGGAAGGCAGCGTTGGGATTCACACTTCGGAGGAGTGAGTTCTGCAGGGTCGTGATGCATGTGTGCATAAGTTTGTGGCGTTAGGTTGGCAGCCAGTGTGCACTTACCTGGGAGTAAACCCCATGGAACCTACACTTGCACCTGAGTAAATGCGCTTATCTGTTATATATATGCAAGTAACTGCACACAATTCCCCTGAAATCCAGGTTCCTGGTTAATTGACAGCAATAACTCTTATACTTTTCGTCAGGTGATGGGGGTTGACTGACTCCACTCCTAATTCAAGCAGAAGTGGGTGATGCTGCTCTGAATCTTTGTCATGAGTGCCCATGGTGGAAATCTGAACGTTTTAAAAAAAGCAAATTGTCAGAGCCCTGAAGCAATGTGCCTGACTCTTTCAGAGACTATCTGTATTGAATAGTCACTGTGCATGAATTACCCCTTGGAAGGCAATGCTTTAAAAAAATCAAATCTGTGCAAAAGCAATCTGGATTCTCTCCTGCGACAGGAACTAACTGACTGGGATGTAACCGCCCCTCCCTGAGTGGCATCTGAGTAAGTTGCTGGCCTGAGAGACTGCAATTCAAAGTAAATCACCTACTTCAAACCAGGTTGCTAATTTGAGGCGACTCCTGCATGAACTCTCTTCCACAGCCTTACTGTTTTAGACTCCATCCCTAATGCACCCTTTCGCTTGAGCAGGAAGTCTTTTTGAACTCAGTGGGGCTTGCTTCCAATTTAACACCATAGTGTTTGTGCTGTTAAGCTGCTATCTGAAATAGGTTATATTGGGGAGTAAGTCCTGTTGATTGTCTGTTTCCACATATCACTTTAGGATATGTCGTAGTAATCTGTTGCAGCAGGAGGAAGCCAGAGCGAGGTGTTGGTTATCTTCCTGACCAGCTTATTTGGAGACAAGTTCCACAGAGTTCAACAGGACATCTATGTAGCGCATTTAGGAAGGGGGAATCAAGTGTAGAGTGATTATCGGGCTGGTTCTCTCTCTCTCCAGGTTAAAGCTGAAAGGTCAAAGAAGAAGAATCTTTCTAATTGTCAAAATAGGCTCTAACAGGAAACTGCAAGGGGGTCTGCATGTGTGTTTGGGGCTCACCCTTGAAGTTTTAAGATATCTGAGCTGGTTTGAGGAGGGTAATGTGGGCTTCTGTCTTTCTTCAGGATTGTTAAGTATTTCTGTGGTCTGTGCAGCCGTAATCATGTGTTTATTAGGGAGAGATTTCTGCTTGGAAAAACACACTCACCGCCTTCCCTGGGAAGAGTCTCCTGTTCAGTTGGTTTGGCTGGAGAGTTGTGGCCTAAATATATTCTGTTGGGCTGATACTTGTTTTCATGTACTCCATCCTCTTTTAATATCCTTTTGCTTTAGGGTCTGTCATAGCAGACCCCTGCTGCATTCCAGGCCTGACAGGGTGAACTGATCCACGCACCTTTATGTTTTCCTGTTTATCTCTGGCTGTTTTGACAGAGATCTGTAATCCTTGCTTGCCGCAAGTCCTCCTAAAACTCAGCAGGGGCTGTGTAGATTTGTAAAGGACAGTGCTATTTGAACTAAGAGTTTTTTTAAAAAATAAAATAAAACCAAAGATTTATTTTGGGTGGCCCTTTCAATGCAAAACCAAAACCTTAGAACCTGGTATCCGATGATTTGGGTGAAAGCTGATGATGGATCAGAATGCTCATAATTGCTAATAGCAACTCTGTATGTTGCGCAGCTACTAATAAGTACACTGAGTGCATTGTTTTTAGGGTGCAGTATGCTCTCATTCCAAAGAGCTTGCTTGTAATTAACCAGAATCAAATTATAATTTGCCCAGAGTCTGGTGCTTTAAAGATGTATTTTGAAGTTGCAGTTAATGATAGGGGAGAAAGAGCCTATAGTGAACAGAGGACATTGTTTAAAGGGATTCTGGAATGTGAAATAGGAGCGCTGCTTGAAGGGCTTCTCAGAGAGTACATTTATAGATATGCTTTGCTACAAAATTAAAGAGGACTCAACCAAAGGAGCAGAATTTTCCAAAGCAGGGGCACTGTTTTGCATTCCTTAAGCATTCCGAACATCTGCTGGAATAAAGGAAGGTTTGAGAGTGCAATGAAAATATGTTGAGACCCTGGTTTGAAGTAGGAACTGTCATCTTGCAAAAATAATAATATTTATAGCAAATTTGTATTGCATTGAATGCGATGGTTTAGAGATAGGCAGCAGCGGGGAGGGAGGGTGGGGTGTGTGTGTGTGTGTGTGTGTGTAGTTTGGTAGCCAGCTGAGAATAGGAGTGAAGCTGTTAGCTGGCCCCGCTGTTACTTCCAGCTTTGCGCTGCATTTGAATCTTATTGATGTTCTTTTTTGCTAGCTGAGCAAATGATAACCCTGTTGAGGATTCCATTCTTTCATTTAATAACCATGATAGCTGGAAGTGCGGCTTAAAAGTTCAGGCGCGGGGGCTCCGTACTGTGGGAATGATGGGATGAGTGAAGGTAATAATCATCTCAACTCGGAGAATTACCTTTTAATTGCAGACCTTTTGGTTCCCTGCCATTGCGTCAAACACTGACTTGAATTATATCCGCCCCATGCTGCTCTCCCTCCAAGTTTGTGAACTAATATGTAGGGACAGGCTTGTAGGACTCCTTAGCCTTTTCCAGCAGTTTTCCTTGTGCAGCCAAGAGAAACTGTAATGGTGAGCATGTGATATGGAAGCTTAAACCCTTTACACCAAGGGTGGGGCAGCCTTTTCCAATCCAAGAGCCATACTGTATTCCCTTCTGGGCAAACTTCAGAAGGCTGCATGCATAGTGGTGGCGTAATGGTTAGAGTGTTGGACTACGACCTGTGAGACCAGGGTTTGAATCCCAACTCAGCCATGAAGCTCACTGGGTGACCTTGGGCCAGTCACTACCTCTTAGCCTAACCTACCTCACAGGGTTGTTGTGGGGATGAAATAGGGAGGAGGACAACCATGTACACGGCCTCTAGCTCCTTGGAAGAAAAAGGTGGTCTATAAATGAACAGTGGAGGGTGGGGCCAGGAGCAAAAGTGGGCAGAGCAGGGTAGGGTGCATTATTTTTTCCACAGAAACACATACACCACTGTCTGTCCTCTGTCCAGGCAGGCAAGAGGCATCATCACAGTTCAAGGATACATTCCAGCCAGGCAAAGGCACTCAGGGCACAAGGAAGGACTGGTAATGGGTTAGGAGTGGGGAGAAAAGAATTATAGAATCATAGAGCTGAAGAGTTGGAAAGGGACCATGAGACTCATCTATTCCCAATTCCCTGCACTGCAGGAATCTTTTGCCCTAAGATTAAGAGTGTCATGTTCTACAGACTGAGCTATCCCACCTCGGGAAGATTCTATAGCAGGCATCCCCAAACTTAGCCCTCCAGCTGTTTTGGGACTACAACTCCCATCACCTCTGGCCACTGGTCCTGTTAGCTAGGGATGATGGGAGTCGTAGTCCCAAAACAGCTGGAGGGCCAAGTTTGGGGATGCCTGTTCTATAGAGAGAGACTTGGGGCAACATTTGACCTCTGGACTCGAGGTTCCACTACTCCAAACGGGTGTGCAATTGTGACTCCATGCTGTAACCAAAGAGCATGCCTCACCCACATAAATTCATGCATTGGGGTGGGGTGACACATACACCTTTTTTCCTAACGTCACCAGCTTTCTCACTGTTGGGGAGAGGTATTATTTCAGCCGAGACATGACCTGAGAACCTGGTTTCAGTGTCACAGCTGAGCCCTGTGACTTTACTAACAGAGCTCCTGAAGCACATGCAGAATGCTCTCTCTCTCTCTCTCTCCCTCTCCCTCTCCCTCTCCCTCCCTCTCTCTCTCTTTCTCTCTCTCTTGCTGCTTGCACTGTGGGTTAACCCACAGAGCCTAGTACTTGCCAACCTAGCAGTTCGAAAGCACATCAAAGTGCAAGTAGATAAATAGGTACTGCTCCGGCGGGAAGGTAAACGGCGTTTCTGTACGCTGCTCTGGTTCACCAGAAGCGGCTTAGTCATGCTGGCCACATGACCCGGAAGCTGTACACTGGCTCCCTTGGCCAATAAAGCAAGATGAGTGCCGCAACCCCAGAGTCGGCCACGACTGGACCTAATGGTCAGGGGTCCCTTTACCTTTATGCATGTCTGGGATTAATAAGCAGAGCACTGGAGATAAAGCACTCTTTCATGGCTTCAGACCAATTCCCTTCTTCTTATCCAGGATACTGTCCCATATATCCATTGTCAAGCTCCAGCAGGGGAGACATGGAGATGCCGGTGAGACATTCCCCCCCTTTTAAGTGCAGTTATAAAGAGATGTCTTTAGCTGCGCATCTCAGGAAACCATAAAGTTTGATGGCTGCAGAGTTTGGGAAAGATCATCCCTATAAACTGTTAGGGGCTTGGAGTGCCCCGGCAGGCAGTGACAGGCAAGTCTGCTTGTAAGCTTTCCTTTTGAAAAGACTTTGAAGCCTCTTTAACTTAACTGGTCATTTTCTTTCCACCTTGTAAAGCTGGAGGGGGCTTGGGTAATGCACTAGGTGTGGGGATGTGTCACCAGGCATGCCTGTGGCGTTTGTTTGATCAATGCCAAAAGCGTCTTGCGGCAAGCATGCCTTGCAAGCATGTTGAAGGGAGGCATTCATATTTTTTTTACAGTGCAATTAAAAG